AGCTTGATCAAGTAATGTAAGGATGCAATGCGATAGTTACACGAATATCTTGTCGTTTGGATGAACAGGGCTGTGCAAAGTTCTTTTATGTTAAAGACTTTCTTGATAAATCTTTATTCTTTAAAAACGTGTTTATTCATCACTTTACACATTTTTGGATAAAAAATTTCTGTAAGTTTATAATTATCGAGTTCTAATGAATTATCAGAGCGATTGATGATATTCTGCTTTTAAAGTACGAAGTAAATCCATAAACCAAAGGCCGGTGGCCATGGTCGGTCCCAGCGGACCAGAAGAGCGCGTTTGATTAGGTAGTATGTATGAAGAAGATAATTAAACCGGCTTTTAATTAAAAAAAGTACGAAGTAATTGTTTATCACGCATTCCATCAGCATTTGATATAAATTACTGTAAAACTGTTCGTGAAAATACTGGTGGCTATGGCCGGTTTCAATGGATTAAAGTGTCTAATCACCGGATTTCTCAAATAAAGCTCCTTCAATCTAAAAAGAAAAATAGATTAAAGTATTTAGCTGGACAATAAGTGAGAGATGATAACTAAACTGTTCTGTAATTTTAAGACCATAAAATTGTCCGTTGTTGTCTAAACTTCCTCTCTCTCACATGAAGTACTCATCTACTACCCTAAAATTGTGTAAAATACATTTCTTATCTTGTTTACCATTTAGTCATCACCCGTGTAATACCGATAAATTAATTTTCATACTGCCATTAAACAGTGCTTAGTAGGAATTACAACAATAGAATATTCACGCTATCATACGTACATGTGTTATTTATTGAACCGTACAAATGCAGTATATGATTAAAAAAGTTTTAGATCGCATACTGGTCGAATTTAAGAAAGATGAAATTTTTTAATTAATTGATCTGAAAAAATGTTAAGCATGTGATTCACATGGCGTAGTAAATGACACATTCGATCAGAAATTATCTTACAGTGACTGAAAATGACACTTAATGGTTTAATTAAAGGTAATTTTTGAATAAATACGAAAGAACGAATATAGTGATGTCGTAAGATGCGTCTTCCTTACATTTATACACAAAATGTTTGTGATTATCTCCTTTATCATCTCCAATATACAATTTAATACGATTTTTATCGCAATTGATCGTCATGTTTTTTCCATTTCTCGTTCCTCTAAGCAATTGATGTAGAAAACACTTCGTACTTGCCAATTCGTAATTTCTAAGAAACAACAATCCAATATTAACGAAGATGGTCAACTTATAAAATGGGGGAATCACTTTCTTGTTGCGTAACACGATGAAACATTTGATGACATGATTGTTGTTCGATAGCAAGGAGTTTATCGCTGAATTGCGTGCATTAAATGTTTCGGGAACAAACAGATCGTACGTCGCAATATTTCTCGTTTCTGATTTATTAAGGTTACAAACGTAGGCTACATCTTTTCTGATTCCTAGCATTTCTTGGTATCCTTCATTGTTTTTCACAAAGCTTAGAAATCTTCTATTTTCCTTCAATGATTCAGTACAGCACACTATTAAGAAAGCGAGAAAGGCTATAAACAGCACCTCTATTGCCCTTTTAATATGTAATTTGTACATACCACCTTTGAAGGATAAAACTTTAAGATTTTTATCAAGCTATCAATTACACACTACGACATGATAAAATAACACGAATAGTAAATATTACGTATTTTAAAAGGTAATAAACACGTATTAACGGCATTAAAATGCAGTTTGTTACATTTCTTCGGCCTGATAGTGCTAAATCGTATTATCAAGCTGTAGTGATATATAAAGACTCGTTACAAAGAAAGGAAGAAAAAGTGCCCTGATATAACTCTTTAAGCTTCCAATAAAACAAAACGATTCCTTAGAACTGTGAATGTTGAGTAATTAAGTAAATATGTTTCTTCAGAAAAAAATTTCTTAGAACCGGTCTATTTTAAATTAACGATATGTTGCACGTTATTTACGAACGAGCCTTTCTATGTAGTAATATAGAAAGGTTATTCACTGTAAAATTAATTTCCATTTTCATGATCACTGAACTATCTCGTTAGATGAATGTTATTTGCAATCAATTTCAATACATTGAACGATCCTTGACAAGATAAATAGCGTTTCTTCAATGAACTAAATAATCAGGTTTATTTCTCAAGCTCAGGAAAAGAACTTCCGTGAATCAAAGGCCTACGAGGCCATGGTAGGCGCTAGCGCGCCAGGAGAGTCTGCTAAAATGTGTAGTGGTAAGAAGATTTAATTAAAATGACTCTCAAACAAAAAAACGAGAAGAAATGCGGACCAGTGCTCATAACTCTTGTTTAGCAATTTTGGTAAAAATCGGTTTATTAAGTGCGTTTACACTACGTTCCTCCCAATTAGATAGTCAAACCATACGTTACACTTTCAAATCTGGTGTAGGCATCTTTCTTTACCTCTCCCGCCAGTTGAGTATGTCCACATCACACCTCTCCACAGCGTCTATCAAACGATTTCTTTTCACTTCTTTAAAAATGGAATAAAATAAAAAAATATTTCTCACCCATAAAAAACGAGAATCAGATGGAAGAATTGGACCAGAAGAAATTAGAAATAGAAGAACCGCAGTTACTTCCTGAAATAACAATTGAGCTTTTGCTTCTG